TGTAAGTCGCTTTGGATAAAAGCGTCTGCTAAATGACTAAATGTAAATTGTTTAACAAATATATATGTATATATATATGTATATATATATATATGTATGTATGTGTATATATATATATATATATATGTATATGTGTGTTTTTAAATATTAACTTTAAGTGAGTTAAAGCGTTAGATGTTGGTAAAGGTGATCTAAAAGTAAAAATAGGGTAAATGCGTGTGCAGTTAAATATCCAATATTTGCAGATAACTGATAAATACAAATAAATATTATAATTTTTGCCTGATCTGTATATCAATATATCATGCATCCCTAATGTAAATGATACTGTTTGTAAGGGTTGTTTATTTATTTTTACACATTTGTTTGTCCATTTGCAGACACATCAAATACATCATGTAAATGCATTTTCGATTTCCTGTCTTTGATTCCCGGATTACGAGACATTATAGAATTTTTCATAACCTGTTTGGCAGATAGACAGACATCTACATTTTAATAATGAGCTACTTTTTAATAATATAAGCAATGTAACTGATAGCCTAGATAATGCCCCTGTCTGCTCAGAGCGCTTTGAGAGGTGAAAGGCCGCAGACTTGAAATGCACTCAATTGATTTTTCTTAAAGAGTTAATTCTGGATGCTCATTGTTCTCTTGATTGCCATCTCATGAAGGTCACATGTTACCTCTGAAGAAACTCTGCTCTTTCCTTTGCTCGTCGTTCTGAATCTCGAGAGAATAAAGAGAATTGAGCTTCCTGAGTCACTCAGTGTGCGCTTAGACAGACCTCCTCCACTATCTGCAATCTGTGTTGACAGCATATGATAAGATATTGGATTTGGGTTGGTATGTGTAATCTTGTTATATCTGTGGCTTTTCAAACATCACATCATGGGTCTGTTTCAGATTTCAGCATCACAATCTGTCTGATGGTAGTTATCGTACAAATTGTATACACATCCGCACACTCGTGCACCAGACCTTGGTTTGCTGGAATGTAGTTTGTGCTTTATCAAAGCAGCTAGCTAATGTACTATAAACATTAAATGTAAGTAAGGTCATAGCAACACGGCAAAAATACAGCCACATGCTATTAATAGAGCTGACTTCCTGTTCCTGTTCCTTTACTTCTCAGATGATTTAAAGAGTTTTAGCAGAATAAGGTTTGGGGTTAGAAAGTGTTTTTTTTTTTTTTTAGAAACATATTATACTTGCAATCAGCAAGGATTAATTGCTAAATTGATCAAAAATGACAGTAAATATTACAAAAGATTTTATTTTATTTTGTCGTCATTTTTTTATTCTTTTTATTCATGAAAAAGACTTTAAGAAATTTAAATGTATCTCTATTTCCACAAAAAATAATAAGCAGTACAACTGTTTTCAACATTGATTATAATGAGAAA